GCGGCACACGTAGCGCACGTCCCCGCACATTTCCGCACCCGCACGACCACCCCCCGCACGGATCTCCGCACAGATCTCCGCACAGATCTGGTCTGTGCGGGTGCGGAATGTGGAGATCGAACACCCCCCGCACGGATCTCCGCACAAATGTGCGGCTCGTGCGGTTGCAAGTATGCTACTACTGCTACTTGGTCCTCCATTCACGCCACAAACAAGGTACTCTCACTAGTAGTACTATTACTGGTACTCTCACTAGTACAACTACTAAACAACTACTACCACTACTACTAATGCTGCTACTACTATTATGCCTACTAGCCCACTGCTGTGAAGTTGTGTGAGCTGATATCAACAGTGATAAGTGAGTAGGTGCTAACCGCGGTTTAAACCATCACTACGTGCCCCAGGCAAATCAAGCACCTGTAAATGTATGCTTCCAAAAGTTGCAGTGGTTCAGGGCTAACGGACCAAAATGGCTGGTGCCGCCAGCCAAAAAGAAGGGAAAAAAACAGTGCCCGAGTGCACAGCACTTGGGAGGCTCGTAAAAAGCACGTGGTGGTTTACAACGGGCTCATTGCATGACTTCCTAACTTCCTCTTCCCTACGGGAAACCTTCCATCTTAGGGTTTTGTGTGTCGTAGTGGTCCTTTCAAGGCATTGGGTCTCCGGAAGGTCCCACTGAGTACACTAGCTCAAGGTTGCCGATTAGGCTTCCTAAGCAGACACTCCTTGAACTTGTTTGAAGTTATTTGTGTGCCTCACAAATAAGCAGAAAGTAACGCATTGAATGCAATGATAAAACAGTTGAGAAAATATGAAAGAGGGCCCCACTGGTGCCCCCAGGTAGTCGCATCTAGTCTCCGGGCCTGGCCTTGGTTTTAGGATGGATGGGGCGCTGGACCCAATTTCCGGCCGTTGAAAAGAACAGGATCTCCTATGTTTCTGGGTGGGATCTGGCATCCGGTAAGAGGGCTGAAGAGGTGGACTCCTGTGGACAGGCTCATTCGGAACATGGCAGGGGTCGCTGGACCCGGTTTCCAGCACTGGTGACTTTTCTCATCCCATCTCATCTTCATGTTTTTCCTATACATTTTCAGACGGGATGCTGAGCCCGGTTCTCAGCACGTGCTGCTCCCCACGAATAGATCAGAGCTTGTTCTTTGTTTAAAAAAAAAAAAAAAAAAAAAAAACACGACACAAACCATTTTAAACCACCAGTCCGGCAAAGGCCACATTGTATTATTTCCTGTGGACACAGGAAAAACAAAAAGCTTCAGCCTACCGGACCCAAGGGGTGGTACCTGGGAATGTGCAAAATTCGGAGTACCCCTACTTTGGCGATTTTGAACTTTGATTTTCAGCAACAAAAAAATTACCAAAAAAACAGTGATGTTGCTTAGGTTGCTCTGCATCAGGGGAAAAATATATATATAGCATCCGTTAAAATCGAAACAATATAGAGAAGATTTGCATGACCCCTGAAAAAGGAATGGTCTGGCCCATGAAAAAATATTGTGCCAAATCGAATGCATAATAGCATATTTCAATCAAAGTTGGTGTGACCAGGTAGGAGTGAAGTTTCAGGCTCATCCAAATTGGTGGTTAAATTCAATTTGAAACACACAAAAAGGGGGGAAAAAAAAAAAAAACGTCCTTGGAACGATAGAGAAAGGAGGGCATAATCCGGACGAAGCGGTAGGAGGTGCCGTAGCGCTCGAGTACCACGATGCACATGCGTTAAAGATTTAGGGTTTCATATTGGTCAAGTGTGGAGTTCAGGTGCCATATCCCAGGGTGCTTAGCACAGGGAAGGGGTGTCATCGAGCTGTCCAGCTCATCAGTAGCTCGAGCAACAGTGACAAGAACTTGTCCTGGCAAGTGGAGCACTAATGGAAGTGAGCTCGCAAGGGGAGGTGGTGTATTTTGAGTCTTTTTTTTTACACATGGAAACACCATGAACAAGCTGAAGTGAAGAGCGCTGATGTGAGCGTACTCCCTAAGAAACATTTTCGAGTAAAAAGAAGCGGAGTCCTAGGAGGGCAGCATAGTAAAGTTTTGAACCACCTGGCCCTTGGGACAATCATATCGAGAGAGCTGTAATGACCCGCCAAAGCACAGACTGAGAACACTGCTGATTTCTGGGTTTCGCCGCTGGATTGTATGACGCTTAGATTCCCACATTCTGATAAGTTTTCTAAGTCTGTGTGTGTGCATGCCTGCTGGTCTGAATGCCTGTGTGAGTGCTTGTCGGCCTGAGTGTGTGTGTGACCCGTAAGGGTACTTGTTTGTTTGGAGGCCCTGCAGGGCCGGTACTTACCTGTGGCCGTGACTTTGAGGATTGCAGCGGAAAAACACTAAAGTGGCAGGGGTAGGCCCGCGACACTTAAGAGCAGTGGGAAAAAACACTCAAGTAGCAGGTAGGCCGGTGCCACTCAAGTAGTGGTAGAAGCGTCGGGTAATCGAGGCCGAGCAGAAGAAGACAAAAAGTTGGCATTTTTAGAGGCCCAGTAGCGGTAGGCTAGAGGTAGGCCGGTACCAGTCCAAGTAGCCTGAGTCTAGGGTCTGTACGGACGATATCAGACCCTGCAATGATGTCTCCCTCCGAAAGGGAGGAGGTAGCGGTTGCTGGGAGGCCGCGCGGCCTAGGAAGTCACTGCCCAAGAGGCAAGTAGGCCGCTATATCATCTGGAGGCGCGAGTAGCTCCTCCTCATTTGCGGTGTGCAAAGTTGGGCGCCATACTGCTGGAGCGAAGCGCTGGACTGAGAGCGTGCCTGGGAGGACAAGGAGGAGCTGGGCGCTCAGCCTGGCTATGGCGAGCAGCCCAGCTTGAGGAGGAGGAAGAAGGGGGTGACGGAGGAGAGTGGCGACGTACCTACCTGGCTATGGTGGAGACCATCTTCATCACCTTGTTAGGCGCTGCATCCGGAAGGCCCCAGTTGGGGTAGTGCCGCACCAAGGAAGCTCAAGGCAGAGTCAGGCATGGCGGCCTGATGAGCAGCGACCATAGCTGCTTTGTGTTGTCCTTTGCGAAGGAGGGCAGAGCCCTAGTAGTCCGCCATAGCCTTGGCATGTGAGAGGAGAGAGGAGGGAAGCCACGGCTATGGTGGACCTGTTGTTGTACTGGCAGTAAGAGGGAACTTCAGATATTGATTCTGGTTCAACCACTCGTTGCTAGTATCATTATTTGGGAGAAGAACAAGATTGGTGGAGACAAGGAGAAGGAGGAAGACAGAGAGAGAAGGGGGAATTGTCATTGGTCTTGCTGGTGTACATCTTCTTCTTCTTCTTTGTCGTCTTCGTCTTCTTCTTCTTCTTCTTCTTCTTCTTCTTCTTCTTCTTCTTCTTCACCTTTGGTCTCTATCTCTTCGCAAGTGCTTTCATTGCTTTCGCAATTGGCTGGC